GTCTAGACAGTGACCTTGGCAGACTATTTGCGACCATGCCATAGGGACATATAAATGTGTATGTTATGACGCTGCTGTCAAACTGGAAAACGAAGTCAAGTAACAAGGTTGTTATGTCTAGATATCCAGACTGTATAAATACTTCGAAATTTGTTACGTATCAAGCTGGAAGGGAAATTGTTTTGAAGTGTTGCTTCCACTAAAAATGAGTGGAAATCTCCCCAAAGTCTCTATGCGTGAATTATTAAGTAAGAAAGGAAATGGTAGTGTTCGTATACGAGCGACTGAATATTTTGATATGAAAACTATTGAAGAACAACTTACATTCGTATGCATCTGGCAAACAAGTCACAACTATTGCATGAAGGCTGTCAGACTTTTCTCTAGTATGGTGATATTCGGAATTAATTAGAATCATATCATAGCCGACCTTCATCTTCAAATACTCACACGCTACTGAATCGATCTCTAAGTTTTTCTAAAATTAATATAAACATAAAATCATTTCAAGGTGAGGCAGGAGTTGGACTGTAGAAGACGTAAACATTTGCAGAGAAGAATAAAACCCGTAACACTGGTATCTAATCCTTTAATATTAACATAAAATTCGTAGCAGCACAAAGACGTCGTGTTAAACACTCAAGAGTATCATCTTAGTTATTTTGAGTAAGGCTACGCTTTACTCCGGTACTGAGAACAATACTAATTGAATTATATTGTAATTATCACAGCGTACAGGTATTTGTGAACACTGAAAGGTAATGAAACGGCAATGTACATCCCTCTTCTAGGTTTTTTTTCTTTATTTGCGAGAATGACAACTGGAAGACTAAAACCTCTACTTTCTAGGATGGACAGTACGAACGATACTATACACTGACTACAAATTTCCATAAATTACGTATGATGTAAAAAAAGATAATTTCAAATCCATGAATAAATCATTGGAACGAACTGAAGTTATTCAACATTTTAAACAGAATTATATACTTAACTGAACGACAACGAAGATATCGTAATCGGCCTAATCACTGAGTTATGCGTAATTGACTGACTTCTTTTACCATTAACTTACTGCTAACCATCATAAATAAATTATACTTGATGGTAGATTTTTTTAAAAAGAATTATTACTCAGTTCATTTAGTGATCTTAACTATAAAAGTGAAATACACTAGCTTATTAATCAATATTATGATTATCGGTAAAGTATCTATCTCCACTATATGAGTGCGTAAGTAATAGAGATTTTTGTTACAGTTACTCGTGTATGTGTATTATATAACACATGCGTAAAAAACATTCATAAGATGTTCGCGCTTTAGCTTCCCATGACAGTTATAACCTACGAGACTAATAAAAGTCAAATTGAAACAAGAACTTTATTGTTTATCATAATTTTTTTTTTAGAACAGTGCAGTTAAGGCTAGAAAACACACAGTAGGAACTAATAGATTGTAACCATTCATCCATGCACATACACAAAATGCACACACACATATACATATATGAATAGATGAAAATGCTACAGCTGTGCATAATTGTCAGTAGTAATAATAGTGTAATGTTCCATATAAGCATTCTTCTCTCTCTCAACCGGGTAAACGACAAAAACCGACAACACAGCATTTATATCTTTTGTTTTATTAAAAAATATCATTTTGTATCGACATAGAGAAATACAAACTTATACTAAGCAAATTAAAGCTCTTTTCACCACATACATACATATTCGTAAAATACATTCAAGATACAATTTAAATTTTCTATTCTTTTAATCATCTATCTGTTGTAATTGATTAATTTCTTGAAATGAGTGCGTGTAGTGCGCTTAGTGTGAATATTCAACGATGAGTAAGTCTTTAAAAAATGGTAACAAACACGAATTATTGACCTTCTCCGGAAAACACCTGGGAAAAAAGAACCCTAGATCACGTAACACACACACGTAGACATGGAATAAGTGAAGACATCATTAAAGAGCAATACAAAAAATATATATGTAGAAAATGTAAGCAATAGAAAAGTATTATATCATTTCAACTCAACTAGAACTCAACCATTTGTATGTAAGTTATTTTCTAAAGTTCAATCGCCAATAGGCGTATAAATTATGAATGGATTAAGATAAGGGTATAGATACGTAATATATAACAATGTGTATAATAATAATAATAATAACAATGAATAGCAATAAGTGATAAATGAAGATTACGAAGGGTGATGAGTAAAAACAGTAGAACATAGTTGCATATACTATGTAATAGGTAACAGCAAACATAACAACAAACACAACATATCTCTGTATCTATCTAAACTGTTTATTATCATTGTTGTTGTTGTTGATAGTCATTATATGAAGAATTGTAAATGGATGAAGTGAGAATTTTAACTTTGTGTAACGAATATAGAATCGAGTTTTATGTTAAGAAACACCTGAACTTAAGAACAAACAAACAATATTGTCAAAATACCTGTCTCCAATATATGATAAAGATCGACCTATTGAGCATATATGGTGAATTGACGTAATAGGAGTGGATGGATGACATACAGAGATTAATGCACAGACATGGACATATTTTAATTAATGTTGTTGGAAAATCAGGAAACATCTAGTCCAATTTACAAAAATAAGGCTTGTTAGCCAAAGATATACCATAGGAAGAAGACAAAGAAGGCGAAAACAATAAGAAAAATTCCGAAGCAGAATATATAGCTTTAATATGGTATATGGAAACAGAAAGTGTAACTAAATAGTAAATGTACTTCAAAAAAAACATAAGTTTTGTCTATCATCTTGAATAAATTATATCTCAAGGATATTTTTCGCTTTTTTTAAATTTATTTTTCACATACGAATCAGTATGAATGTCATTTCATTCTCGAAAAAATAATAGTGAAAAAAGTATGTAGGAGTTGGAGGAAAACAATGTGCCTATGGAAAGGAGTGAAAGGAGTAAAGATTGACGGAAAGAAAAATCACCTGATTTGAATGAATAAGAGAGACAACAGTGTATGAACGTTGAAAAATGAACCGGTAAGAAAAAGAATTCTGCAAATTCAACCATCTTTTGCTTATTTAAATCTTAGAGAAAGGAAAAGAGAAACCTGACAATGTATTTTTAAATCTGACACAGGGAGAATTAAGAATAACGTTAAACATGATTACTAAAATAACAATTTATATTTATAATGATACCATACATAGGAACAAAAAACATTAGTAACAGGTAATAATTAATAGATAAGAAAAAGAGCACCGTGTCTGTACGACATATGATCGACAAAAAAATAATACGGAAAAACTTTTTCATTAACAAATAGCCATAAGTAGTACAACGCAACAAAGAAACTCCACAATCCAATTATTACACATAAAATACTAGTTATGATTTTGAGTGTTTCTGTTAACCAGACATCTATTATAATGATTTGATAAATAGTATTGGTAGTGTTATTGATAGTAACAGAACCTGATTATATTCTAATATATATATGAAACATTAAGACAATGTGAAGAACATTACTTGATCACACATAGAGTGTACATTAAGAGAAACAAACATTTAACAGAAAACACTAAAGAGAGGGGAATATAATAATTGTTGGTTTACAAAACTACAATATAAAGCTTACCAGAGCCATGAAACAGTAATATAGGTAGGCATGTAGATTGACTGATATATTGATGTTCAAGAAACAATAGAGTAATAATAATGGTAACAGTAATGGTAATCAGCACACAGCTTATTTAGAAAATAAAGATATGCACGATCTGATGGAGTTAAATATAGTGCATAATATGATGATTCAGATGAAATGCTACATTCAACTATTCCTGTTCATGAACGTATGAGATACCAAGTAGATATCGTATGAATGTTGAAGAGTGAATAGAATCGAACAATCTCCTTTCATAGAATAACAAACTGATGGTAATACAAAAATAATGCCAATGATAATTTGTTTGTGTCTACCGCACAAATCATTTCCTGAATACATATATTGTATATGTATATGTATATATGATCGAAACATGCACAGACAAAGCGAGATAAATTACCTCTCACACAGAGATTATTTGTTTATATGATAAACATTTTTTATTTTTATTGATTCATATCATTTTGCGGTCATTCAAAACCGGGAAGAAAAATGGATCAAATCCTAGAAAAGACTTCTACTTTGGGGAAAACAAAAACCAGGATCGATAATTCTCTGTTTTTCTTGCTGTTATAGTTCAAAATTTCCTCTGTATATTCTTTGTTTATGTGTAGACCCTAACCCGGGAATAATAAGATTGATTTCTTTGCATATATGAATAACCGGGAAGGGGAAATTCTGACAAATGTAGATGACAGTATACAGTCACAAATGTTAGTAATGTAAGTAAGCTGATTAGTTTGATAAAGAACCCTGAGAAAAGATATAGTGAACAGAAGATCCAGACGGCGAGAATACAAGAAAATGTGTGTGTATGAGAGAGAGAGAGAGAGAGAGAGGGAAAGTGGCTATCGAAAAGCAACCAAAACATGAAAGGAGAAATAAATCGTTGTTATGAGTGTTAAAGAACCAACTGAAACGAGAAACAAAAAAGTGGTATACATTTGCAGAGTGGTGGTAGTGGATTATGTATCCATTATTAGATGTTGTATTTCCGATAAACATTGAAAAAGGATGAACACCAGAGAGAAACATATTTTGGTACACTGGCTGGAAGGCAATTATGAAACCCAAAAGCAAATATCTGAAAAAATAATACCACGTAAATAGTGGTAGTTGTAGTAACAAACACTGGAATAATAATAATAGTAATAATTAGCCGAAATGCGATAACCAGGTCTCTCACTTAGCATACAAAGGTAAATTATATAATAGAGTAAACATTATGGGAGAGTTAAAAACTGGTAAATTCGAGGAATACATGATAGTAATCTATTGCATGCCTAAGTTCACATAAGGTTTACAGTTTTTTTAATATTCCAAGTAGTATATATATATATATATATATATATATATATTGACAGGTAAACTAAAAAAACATTCAAACAATTAAGAGGTTAAAAACAACACATAACATAAAGACTGAACAAAGCAAGATTGTATCTAGGCCACTTCTGTAATCGATGACAGTGCTGAGGAAACAGACAAAGCCATTGTGTCACTATCAGCTGACAAAAGATTTGGACTGGGACGTCTACGTCGACGGCCTTCTCCGATAGCTCCACAACGTGCAGACTGATTATTACCATTTGTAGTGCCATTTTCTGTTCCATTATTGTTATTATTTGAACTGGAAGTAGTATATTCACTTAGATTTTCTGAAAAATACGCCATACTCTGAGAGACATCATTTTGGTTACATTGATGGTGATTTTCACCAAGTCCACTTTCAAAGTAAGAAAATCCGAAAGAATCATCAATACTGTTTGATGAACAGCCATTCGGAATGTGATCATTGTTAGCCTGAGACCAAATTGAACTATTAATTCGACTAGATATAGTAATATTATCATTATCAGTAGAAACTACATTGGACGCCTGACTACCAGGATTACTAAACAAACGTTGTAGTACAGAAGTATTCGAAAATAGCCTTGACCCCATCAATGATTCTGAGCAAGATGATGGAAGTGTAGGAACAAGATGAACATTTTTATCGCCATTTGAATGGTTGCCATTGGTACTACCATGTGTGTTATTTGGATTTGAAGATGACCAAAGTTTGTTTGAACTCACAAGTGATTCCTTGGACTTGAGAGTGAAAACCGATTCGCTATCATTGGGATCATGCGATTCAAAGCCAGGTGGGCAAGCAGTCATATTGTTATTGATTGTAGTACAAAGTGAATTAGTAGAGCTAACGACTGGATCTTTATCACAGGATGAATTCAAACACAACTGGTCCAAAGCATGAATAAAATTAAAATTGTTAACAGAGTATGATTGTGTACCTGACTCACTGTCATTAGCCACAAGATGATTACGAGGTGAAGAAGCACTATCTCCTGAATCAGCTGTTATTTCAGTAAGCAGATGAGATGAAGGCACCAACCAATCACTGTGTCTGCGTGTCAGAGGTTGATGCAAATCTTGTTCATTTTGCTGTTGTTGTAGACGATTATGCAGTAAGATAGTTGGGCTAACATTTCCATCGGCTTCCTGTCTGGACTCATTGAAATTGAACATAGAAGTATCAAAAGCACTATCTAATGCTCTATTGTTTAGGATACGATTGGGATTGGAAGCAAGTACATTACTGTTGTGATTAGATGATGGAGTCATTAGATTATTAAGTGCTGAATTAGAGCCAACATAACCATGAAGTCTGGTACTGGATTCCGTTTGGACCGAAGTGAATGATGGAACTGCTGAATTCCATATGTCAGAAACTAAATTAGAACCAGGAGCTCGGTTAAGATGGGTGAGAAAATCATTTGGTGCAGACAGGTCAAAATCTATTGATAAGAAGGAATAAGTAGATTTCAATTAATAATACCCTTATTAGCAAAACCAATATCAACTTTACTTCTAAATAACAGATGAATTGAAGAAAATTAACTAACCAGACACCTTGTAAGCCAACAAAAAGAAATAAACAAAACAGAGCCACGTGTATTTGAGTATCCATCAAGTTTTCGAACAGCGTATCGTATTGAAGTTGAGTCATTAGAAATAAAAACAAAGAAACAGAAGTATCAGAAACTGAAAGGAAAAACACACAGTTTAAATGAAGTTATGCGCCTGTGACCGACTGTGTTATATCAACCGATTTCCAATAACTTTCTTTAATGATGTTCCGAAAAGTATAAAGTTTACCAGTGTTTTCACGAAAACACTAATCAACTCAAGGATAATCTGCACAACTTAATCTACCAATCAAAGAAACCGAGTATATGACCTCACTAAATACGACTACAATAAATATACTAAAGCTAAATATTTGAAAAACCAGAAATCAGTCATGGATATGATTCCATCACAGAATACTTATCCATAGATTTTATTCATGAAAAGTATCAAGGTCTTGTAAGCACACGATGCAACATCAAAAGTAATTTTTCCTTTCCTCACAGGTTGGAAGGATAAATCAATCAGATCATTTAACGTATATAACACCTAAAGCCTGTCAATACCTGCCCACCTAATTCCGTCAAACTTCAAGTTTTAAATATTTACACTGCTAGCTAATGAAGGCTTGATGCTCATTTGCATTTCAGTTCTACTATTGAATCTGCTGCTGCTGGATTCAACATAGAACTCGGCACCGAAGTGCAGTAGTTCGAGTTGCCACGTTCCAAATAGCACACAAAGGTAGACAGGAAAATGAGTGAAGAGAATCAATAGAGTTTTGACAAGTATAAGAGTGAAACAGAATGAGTAATGGTAGAAAGGAATATGAAAGATTACACAGACTGAATACATCTGCGCCATTGACAACGATTTTGAGCCATGTCACCTATTGTCTCCAGCCATTGATTCTTCGAGTCCTGAGGGTGGGCCCCGACCCGGAAGTCTGCATCTCCCTCCCTACCTGACTGACTCAGTTTAACTGTCAAGGATTTCATGGATTGATTGATGCCATGTTTTTGCTTGGCCACCACTTACTCTTTTCCAACCTGCACCTACCTATATCAGCTAGTAATGCCCGTCCGTCGGGGGAGGCGATGGTTAGGCATGCGCAGCACGTGACCTAGCCATCTCAATCTATGTAACTTTATAGCCTCTTCGATTGATTCTCCCCCTTTGCCCAACACTCTACGCCTAACGTCAACATTACTTACCTCATTATGCCACCTAACGTGAGAAAGAGATCGTAAGCATCTATGATCAAAAACAGACAACCTTTTCATGTCTTCAACTCGTATTGGCCATGTTTCAGAGCCATAAAGAAGGACGGAGCGAACTGCTGAGCAGCACACACGTCCCTTGGTTGACAGCCGGATGTCACGCCTACGCTAGAGACGGTGTAAGTTAGCGAAAGCAGCCCGAGCTTTTTGGATCCGTGCTGAGATTTCGTCACCGATCAATCCGTTGGTGCTGATACAACTTCCCAAATAGGTGAAGTGGTCAACATGTTCTATCACTTCACTCCCTATCACTAAGCTAGGAGTTGACGTAGTCCAGTCATTCCTGTAGCAGCATCTTACATTTCACAGGGGCGAATCGCATGCCAAACATACGAAAATTGCTGCTCAAGGTGTTCAGAAGACTCTGCATTTTGTCAGCGTCCTCCCCTAACAAGACTATGTCATCTGCATTTTCTAAGTCCATAAGATTATTCCCTGGTAACAAGTCGATTCCTAAGTCGTTAAGTTCAGTTAAGGATACTTCCATTAGCATATGTATGATGAAGTTAAACAGAAAAGGGGAAAGTGGACATCCTTGACGGACACCACTGGTTGTTATCAATTCAGATGATAATTCCCCATAAGCCCTTACACGGCTACGTGAGTTTGAGTAGAGTGCCTTGATTAGTGTAATGTACTTTCTTGGCACTCCCTTCACAGTCAAACATTGCCATAGTACCTTTCGATCCACGGAGTCGAAGGCCGCCTTCAAGTCAAGAAATATGGCAATTGTTGGACGCCTAAAAGTGTGTCTATGTTCTAGGATCTGTCGGAGAGTGAATATATGATCTATGCACCCTCTACCTGGCCTAAAGCCCGCTTGATTTTCCCTCGTTTGTTCCTCCCGAGTTCGGCTTAGTCTGTTTATGATTACTGAGCCTAGGATTTTAGAGACTATGTTCGTCAGGCTGATTCCTCTATGATTATCACATGAGGACTTGTCTCCCTTCTACTATTGAGTAGTTAATAGATGAAGGTCATAAAGCTAATGTGCTGGAAGATATGCAGTCTCCCTTAAATGTTTTTGCTCCTTTATGTGGAGATTTATCACTAACTAGTTTTTCCTTTTTCTGCTGAAGATAGTTTAAATCTTTGCTTTTTATCTCCATTGCCCTCATTACTTGTCTAGCTTTCACTTCTCACTACTGTGGAAATTACACTACTAATCTACACCTAAACTAGGTTTTAATGCATTGACTTTATCAGATCGATTAGGGGGAGGATAATTTAACAAGACAAATTAAGAGAGATAAATTGAAAAACATAATCCGGATTTTATTTATTTTGATTTTAGTCACCGAAAGCTGCGAGTCTTAAACTCATACAAGTTCTTATCACTTGATTTATCATTGAGCATTAGTACACTTGAACAATGCTAAATAAAGTTAGTCCATTTAATTTGTAACGTACAATCAACTGAGCTAAACATAACACATACAAATATAGATTGAGTACCAATATCCCATCTTTTGTCCCTAGAAGTCGTGGCTGAATAAAAGGTCCTAAGTTTCGAAACCTAGGCAAAATACTGAAGAACTCCAAACCAAGACGAAACAGAGACGTAGTACTTCCAGATTCTCCTATGGTTCTCTAACTGATGTCAACTCATGTTTGAATCTGTAACCAATTAAATCCGTACAAACCAACATTTGATTAATAGAGGTTGTACCGTTAAAGTTCAAAAGAGATTGAGAAAACCGCAATTTCTACCAATATACGATGGAAGTGACGACAAAGCTATAAAAATGTGGTGATACAAATACGTAACTACATGTTATGATCCAAGTGAAATAAGAGATTTTGTCAATATTTATGACAGTGATGATTTCATTAATGACCAACTTTTTCCCACAATTTCTATTCACCCTATACAATAATTCCAATTAGGTCAATACAGTGATAGGTTTAAACACGTTTACATTTACTATATACACAATACCAAAAATATGAATTCATCTAATGAAAAAAATTTGTACCAAAACATGTTCTGCAACCCATACCTCGCACAGACATGTTTAAACTCGTTGAGAGTCAATACATTAACATTCTTCATGTCATGACATGTGGGCGAATAGTTTCTACGATGTAAACTCATAAATATAAATCTCCGATATAAAAATGAAACCGACTTTCAAACTGTTTAAAAATCACGTGCATTAAAACTGTTAGCCAAATGTACTGTGTTACAATTTGCAATAATATCATAGAGTTGCTAGAACACATTCGATGGAATGAATTTACTGACAAGTTAACTTAAACTGCTAAACGACGCAGCTAGTGCATTTATAGGATTTGTTAAGAATACACTAACAAAAACTTTCGTGATGTCTACACTGAACTGAAATGTGATCATATCGAGTTAATATATTCATATTTATAGGTTTGGAAAAGATTACTATTTCCACGTAACTATAAATGAAAAGAAAATGATATTATCTTTCAATCCATTCTTCGAAAACAGCACTTTTTATTGAGATAATTAACTCACGTAGTGACAATACTCTTAAGCGACCAATTCAGTGAGAAAAACAAATACACTTACTTTGAAGAGTACGTGGAACACATGCCTGAAATCCATTAGATACGCCATCACTTGAAGTAGTTGAAGCGCGATGACTAAAATGACCATTATTTGGACTAAATGTAGCTGACAACAGTCTTGACTCATTCAGTGAACAGTGGTTGTTAGAATTGACTTTGGAAATTGAGGCTTCACCAGAATTTACATCGTCACAACCATTTGTCTGAACACCATCAAAATATGTACCATTCAACATGTGAGACTGGAAATGATTAGAATGTTGGTTGTCTCCAGTTAGACTCTGTGAACCAGTACAGCTATTAGGATTTAGTAAAGAACCTGTTGCATTTAGTGCAGATACTGAACAACTGGAGGTGGATGATGGCCCACTGGATACTACAGCAAGTTCTTTTGCACGGCGAGTTTTGTTCTTTGATTCAGCCAAAATTCGATCTAGTACTTCACGCGCTTCTTGTGAATCCATCTGAGCAACATCAGGCCACATCCAGCCCCCACAACCACTCCCATTTGTTTTCGAAGTACTATTACAAACATTTTGCATAGTGGAAGCACTGGAACCGTTAACTCTTTGTTCTTCGGAACTCATATTAGATGATCCAGAAGCTTCTTCAACTTCTTCGCTAGCACGTCTCTCTAGCTGCCTCATAACCAAGTGACCAATCAATTGCTTGGCTTGTTGGACTCGACATTCGGCAGCTTGATTCGAACTCAAACCTAACCCCTGGTATGCGGATATCTCAAACTCAGAAGTTGCGTTTGGACCACGTGCCGCCTCCTTAGGGGGACTTTTGATCTCAGTACCAGTATCTTTTTGTATAGTAGTAATAATTGAGCCTTGGGTCCCGATTATTTTGCCCACCATTTCCTGAGGAACGGATATTCGACCGCGTGCCAAAAGTACCCGACTACCAGGGGTATTTGTACCCGAAAATAAACCAGCGCTGGTGATTGTATTCGTTTGCATTTGGCTGCCCAATGTGTTTGAGTTTCCAGGACTAGCTGGCAAACTAGAGAATGTAGGGGTGAAAATGGATGCATTTGGGCTACGAAGCGAACCATTGTTCGAAGAAAGCGTCCCTCCGTTGAGTGATGCATTCACGGTCGTAGATGGATGAAGTGGAGAATTATTTACACTATTACCTAGTGATAAAAGCCCAGAGATAGAAGAGCAAGAATTAGGAACAAAGTTATTTGAACCACCAGGAGTTAGACTCGGTCCCAAGTTCCCACTAGATCCGTTTGTAATATTCACACCATTTTCATTACCGCATGGTTGAGAACTTGTGGACCCACGTCTTCTTTCTCCAGCAACAATTTTGCTTTGAGTTATTTCTTGAGCTCTTGTGGCTAAATGATGAGCGACACGCATTGCAATTTCTGGAGGTGCTTCAATAATAAAAACATGTTCTTCTTGTTCACCAGGAGTTGTAATTAAAGCACCAGTTTCTTCGCGAATCAGTTTGATTTTTTGACCTAATAAATGGAAAGGAATTATTTTTTTTAATAGTACAATAATTAGGTAGCTATTACAAAAACAAACAGAGGCAGTTACATAACTAGTTGCAGGTCGACTAAATTAAATAAAAATATAGTGCAAACTGGCTGCATTTCAACAGCGACCTACGAATTCCATAGTGTGAGTTTTCCTTGTTTGAATATTATTATAAATCATTGTATTCTCAGAATAGATATATTTTGCATCAGTTCAACATATTACTGATGAACCTGCTTTTGTTGTTTCTACGCGGATTGTTGTCGGGAAAATTCAAACCGTCACTTATAATTTCGAGGACTTACACGAAAAGGCCGTATGTGAAAAACATTGTACATATCTAGATGAATGGATAAACAAATTAAAGAAACTTGAATATTACTGAATTTAGTCCAAGTTGGAAGACAGAGGCACTGGAAATAATAGGTTAATGCATCTAGCCTAATATTGTAGCTATTTTAAATGGATCTATATTCATTCTATTTTTCACCTTTTTGGGGATCGCATTCAGACATCCACACACTTCACTATATGAATCAAACCGATAGGCGACAACTTCATAAGCAAAAACCTTTGTCCAAGTCACCTTTATTCTTTTCCAACCTCAACTTTCTTCTAGAGGTTATGTATAGAGTTAGGTGACAAAAATACCTCATAATTGAAATGTATTTTGGGAGTGGATGGAAGTTACTGGGGAAATTTTGATCAACGAATAAATGTAGAACCCTGAACAAATTTGTGTACGTTTAATTTTTCGAATTTCAACAAAAAAATAATAATGATTCTGTGGCGTGTGCTACTGATATATTTATCAGCAGTATATAAAGAGATATTCATGGGCATACAAAACATCAGATAGCGCAGACAGATTTGACATCAGAGAGGAAATGAATCAGCGTTGCGGAAAAACATGGGAGATACGAAAAGAAAACAAAGTAACACAATACAAAAGGCAGAAGTAGCACAACACTGAAGATCTGTGCAAATGATGATTTTAAGACAAGGTGTAAATAACTCCACTACATAGAGATACTAAATTCCAAACTAACATTCCTTTACCAAGTCTGTCGTCTTCTACCGCTACAATACTACAATAACAAAACAGTAATAACCCTAAATCTGTTAGTTAAAACTAGCTATTTACCAATGCACACTTTGTGTGTAACTAACGCTCTGCGAGAATGAATCAGCTTTATCTGTTATGGTTCTAGAAATCCTGAAGAAATTATTTTGTCAGATTGTTACTAGTATATAGACTTATAGATTCGGCTTACGAATAAGTTAGAGAATGATAATTTATTCAATTCGACTTTATGGAAGGTGTTAATACTTTTTTTCCTTGACGTTCCCCAGTGGAACATAGGGCTTCAAGCTAGTGGCTTGAAGTTTCTGTAGCAGTGTTTATTTTACAGGATGGGGTCGCTAGCCTCATGCCCAACCTTTCCTCTTCACCAGTATTATTTCCGGCTTAGCTAGGTAAAGGAGTGCGTCGGCCGGGGATCGAGGCCCGGACCATATGCATGGTCGGCGAGCGTCCTAACCGCTATGCCACCGACGCTAAATATATATAACCTATAATATAATGTATAAAAATTTATTGAGAACGGATGCATTTATTTTTAGGTTTAGTGACATGAATGGAAAACAGGCATTTGATCACGAAAATAATAATTACGAGATTAACACTCTCAACGTATAACAATAATCAATAAACGCATGGATTACAACTCTGTAACAAAATAAATGAATTCACATGCACATTTATTAGGTTAGTGAAGGGTAGACAATTTAGAATGTCATATAGAAAAATAAAAAAAGGAGAAGTACTAACTGAATATTTTTTTGAAATAAAATATCAAACAGCCGTTTTTTCCTAGGAGTCTTTTAGCAACGTGTGTCTTAAGTTTCCTTGCTAAGTTTGTCTAAAGTTACTTCCATTGTCGCTTGAAAAATGATCACTTCTTAACTGTATTTTGCTAGTCTTTAGACTAACCAAGCTTTCTAAAGGTTTATCAAAATAACCTCTTTTCTGTAAAGAATTTCTACAAATATAGACAATTAACTTATGGAATACAGGTGGAACTTTTTTCGGAAGTTTAAGGAAATACAAAATGTACTTCAAACAAATTCAAATCTTAGAGTCCAGTGCAATTAATACATTTCAAACAGTTGTTCAAACCCAGACCCATAGTTACGATTTGAAACTTACCATCTAACAGTAGTACCTACAGAGTATCACTATAGTATAAAGTTGATTTAAAAGCACAGGAGATAGTTATTACCAGTAAGCACGTGAGATAATCATCCAAAAAGTAGGAACATGATTTGCAGAAAGCAAAATTTATCTATTGAACTGTTTCAAAGCTGACTAAAAAAGCATAACGATCGCTTAGTAACAAACTCAGTTTGAAAATTTAAAAAGATAATGTAAAGCAATCACATGACAAAGTATGAAAAGATTAATAATAGACAGGCAGATAAATGTACAACTATACAGTTCTACTAAAGTTTCATTTTCTAGTGGTTGAACAGCACCCTCTAGACCGCTTGATAAAAATGAACCGAGTTACCGGTATTTAAATTGGTCTGAAAATCTGTTGCACGCTGGAATATTACCGTTGTTCGTAATATCAAAAATGCATCTATTTATATTCTACATAATAGCATTTCGTGGATACCAATCTTTCTCGTTTAGTCCACAGTGATTACATGCAAATATGGCTGAAAATCATTACAAAACGCTGCTAAAAGTAATATTAAACAGTTATTATCCAAAGTGCATGTTAAGAGAGACTGAATGAGTATCCACTAATTGCTGCAATATAGGTTGGTCGCTGTCGTTTTTATACGAAGAGCACCAAAAGATTTTTCTTGGACTAAGAACTCCAAAGTAATTCAGCAGAATGTAATCAATCACCAAGATACCGAACAGTAATCTTCAACGCAAAAAAAATTTTTGTATGGAACCAAAGAAGTATCAGATATAGTGACTACAACGCAAAAGAGTTCAAAGCAGACGATGATAAACTAACGAGAATTGGGGGTTTTATTAACTCGTTAAAATACTAAAACTGTAATATGATGAAGCATATGAGCCTATTGATCATACTAAAAAATATTTCCGTCAATAGTCATTTTAAGAGATTATGCAGAAACCCAACCAAAGCATACTGTTTTAAGGAAGTTAACAATCTGCTTCAGGAAAATATTAATTAAAATGGTAACTTTAAAAACGTCTCATATCATTGGTGGAGTTCTCAATGAGGAAAAATCCATAGGACAAAATCAGTAGAAGGCAATTAAAAGTGTGAAAAGACAAATGAAATAGATACCGGGTGTTTTCACCTCGTCCATTTTAAGTTTCTGGTGCTGATAAATGGATAATTAATAATTTATTATCTGCATCACACAAAAAGGGTTAATTACAATTAAGTAATAGTTTACGCTGTCATACTTTCTATCGGAAGAAACAGAATAAACTAGGAGTGAGAAAACTAATGCATAAGAATGAAGTCAAGAGAGAAAAGAAACAATGTGAGACAAAGGGAGGATACAATAAAGCAAAATATTGCATTCTATGTCTACACTTACCCAAAATATATTGCATTCACTGTGCTAGTTTTCAGTCATCAGTATAGACTAATTTTGACTTTGGTCACCATTTGTTTACCTAAACGTTATGTGTTCCTTACCTCAGCTAAAAAATATATCGAAAAGAACTAAACTTTAGTTTCTTGTGCACCCTCCCACAAATCTATTCATTGTTTTATAGATTCTGTTTCTGAACACATCAGCCTTGTATGCACATGAATATTAGTCAAACTCAAAGTCAGAATTGGCATAACAAAGCTGGAAATGGTATGAATTAGTTTCACATAGCCACCCGATACGAATTAAATGAAATTCCTTGCACAACTGATGGCTCAATCATGAATTAACAGAAAGAAAATCACAATAGAAAGCTTAGGGGTGACTCCAAACCATAGCAGCCCAAAACGAAACTACCTAGCGAACTGATAAATGCCCTTGACAACGATAACTTTGACCAATTAGAAGCCTCTAAAGAAACGGCGCATAATTTCAATAAAGCGTTTATATAGAAGTAATGCAATGTTAAAAAATAGTTACAAAGGTTAACGTTTTCGTATGTTTCAAAAAACCCAATTTCTCATAGGAGTCTTGATACTTTTGTTACACCAAATTCTGTACATAAACTCATCCAGATAACTGTATATCATTGAATTTCTTGATCCGTTCACGAATCTAATCCTTTTTTCCAGGTGACTCCAGAAACTTTCGATGCAATTAGTATGAGTTCCATCCAAAGGATTACGAAAACCGTCTGTGTGATTGACTACATGATGAATATACCCGAGATTCGACAATTGACCATAACTACTCCATTCGTTTGTGTGAATAGTGGTCCCGGGCAGCACTAAGCGCTGGATAATGGGAAATAATACACCAGCACTGCGATTAGGAATCGCCTGAATATATCCTTTTCTGAGGGTGGTGTCATAGAGACCACTGTATTTCTGTAAGTGCACAAGACCTCCGCATTGACAAGTTTTAGACCTTGCAATCAGTCCCTTATCCACACAGTAATCAAAATCAAGCTCCGGAGCAAACTTACTACGCAAAAGGCGTCGAGCGTCCATAATTAATTCTAGAAACAACGGTCAGCTGACTAGTTTCTCAAGGTCGTTTCGGTTTCGGTTCCTATTGTTCAATTGCCCTTCCTATCAGTCTGTTCTTCAAACAGTATAAAACACAAAATAATCGAACAAAGAATATTCTTTTCGATAAATTCCTTATCCCTTATCCAAACGGTAATCAAAAACAAGATCTGGAGCGAATTTGCAACGCAAAAGGTGTACAGCATCAATAAGTCCACCTGGATAATGCGGAGTCATCTGATTAGTTGCTCAAGGTCATCTATCCGTTCGCTAGGTAGTTTCGGTTTCGGCTGTTATTGTTTAGTTACCGCACATTTTAAAATGATAATCACCCCTGATAGTAAGTAAACCTGCTAGTGCACAGTATCTATTGATGCTGAAACTAAAGATACCATGGATTTAGCTTTCAAACTTAACTGCTATTTGATGTAAATAATTTATGAACAACAAATGCCATTAGTCAGTAAAAGTTTGAGCACGTGCTCAATGGAAAGCAACTGAGTGTATACTTATCCTACTATATTTGGGTCCTGTCCTACTCAGGAACACTCTGCCGTGCCACCTGTAAGCTAATTTCAAGGGATTGTCCCTGGCAGTATACTTACTTTCGAGTACCAAATACAGCCGACTGTTTTTGGATGCTGCTCGGACAGATTTAAGTAATTTCTTACTGCAATATGAGAATTGTTTCGGAAATGAACATATTGTTTACAATATACATTCTCTAAAACATATAGCGGATGACGTTGAGCTGCATGGGCCACTAGAAGAATTCAGCGCATTTCCCTTCGAATCCTATATGCGCAAGATAAGGCAGTCCGTGCACTGTGGTTACACTGTGGCTAAGCAGGCAGCTCAGCGCTATGTTGAACACGTGTACTTAATGAAAAGTACAGGTGTGAAGCATGTACCTAAAGAAGCTGGTAATAGGTGTATTGAATTCAGCAAGGGAAAGCTGACGTATCTGAATACCATATTCACATCTTATTCTCCGAACAACGTCATCCTAGTCTTAGGTAAACCAGGGAATATAGTTGAAATGGAAAGTGAAGATAGGATACGTTTTCGACCCTACAGCGATTATAGTGATGATTTTACGACACCGTTTAAGTCAAGGAATTTAGGGATATTTAGATGTCCGAAATTCAGTCACGAAACACACTGGATATCCTATGTGAATATTGTCTGCAAGTGCATGACTGTTCCAACAACTAATGACGAAGTAGTCATCCCCCTGCTTCATACTTTTAATTGAAGGTACTGTGCCGTAATTTTTTGCTTGAACTGTTGATATGTAATTCGTCCAAGTTTTTTTGTGACATCTATTTGTCGTCAAGTCCGAACATCTACCTTTAACTGGTTAATGTTGTTGGTCAAACTGAAGTTCATATGACAGTTTATTCCAAGTTTTTGAGATATAGGTATATCCATGCTGTTATTCATTTTAAGCAACCTGATACAGATAAAGTAACAGTCGTATTTCCACTTCATTACATATCCTTTTGCAGAATTCTACACCAATCACATATCTCGTCGTCCGTTCGCTAGAAGATGACACAGTAGTCGCTATCCCAAACACCTGGGTTGTGCGAAGTGGTTTATGTGCGTACAGCAGCACAGTAAACCATCTAGAGCCTATGTATATCGGGACTGGATGGTCAGTGTTTCAACTCCGTCAACTGCAGGAATTTGGTAGGTTGGCATATTTCATTATCACCCTTCTAGATACTTATGAGAATTGTAAAAAGGGTGTAGAGCTTTTGAGAAGCAATGATCAAGGCTCCAAGAAGGCAGACATGGACGATGATACGTTGCCAATGCCTAGTAAGAGACCAAAAAGGTAGGTGTCGTTTTCTGTCTAACGTATTTTTCAGGGATGCCAAGAAATTAGAGAAGAATTTCCTTTACAACTCAATGGATATTGATGTGGGCGCCAGTGAATTTGGTTGCATCAAACCACAATATCCAGATTACAATATATTTGATGACTTCATAGCCCAAATTCCAAGGTATTTACGTAATTGAAAGCCATTCATTTTCAGTACTTCCAGTGCTCCCACAATCCATTCTTCCTCTCCTATTGGCAAAAACACAACTGTATTTGACCGGTAGGAATAATTGTTACAATTTTTATTCGTGCTTTAGACTGCCGCCCAACGAAGATACCACTGATTCCAAAATTCAGAAATTACTCGGTAATTACTTAAAAATAATTATCTATTTAAAGATACAAATATGGAAATCATTAACCTGTGCACGAAAATGTTGAACATTATGACTACTGACAGAAAATCTCGACAACAAACCTCCCTTCCAGCAAACGATGACTTCACACTGGAGTTTCCGATCGAGAATGAAGACCACTTAGAGATGCTGGAAGCACCTTTAAGAGACGAAAAGTACAAACAGCAATATGTGAGTTGACATATTTAATTCTTATTTCTTGTAGACTGCTAAGATGGTTAGCTGCCTTCAGAGTGATCCAAAGTTATCACTTAAGGTCTTGATGCACCATGTTCGAAAACCTGAAGTGGCTTTGAAGTTTACATTTCAGGGGACTTTGACAAAGTCCAGCATTGTGCCTTATACCTTTTATAAAATAATGAGATGTAAGGTTCATTTATAAAGTACTAAGTTCTTTAGATGTAATTATGGCGGAATTCTCCGGCCAACTAATGACGTCGAGAGAGGTTGGTGACATAATGGATAAGGCCACGAAATCGTACTTTCACAATTTGAAAGATCGTGTCCAAAGGCGTAAGGTGAAGAAAGGAATTCAGGTAAAATTGCGAAACGCCTGCTTATTTTTATAAGTCAACGTTTATTGAACATATAGTAATGACAACATTGTTTTCATTTGTAGGCAAATGAAAAAGATACCAGGGGATATAACAGTGGCAGTTATGTAAGTAAACCTTTCTAAATGTAAATTCTTACAATGTGCTGAGCACTATTTTTCATCAACTAATCTTCTATTTTGCTTATTTACGGGATGCTACCAGTGGATCTCACTTGACGGATTTGCAGTGACAATGTACTACAGTTTATTAAATACAAAATTCAATTATAAAAACTGATTTCCTTCTGTAAACTGAATGAATTGCGCCGGCGTAGGACACAGGTGATGATAATAAGTAGCAGTCTTTTCGTTCTGAAGTAATGCTAGTCAGTGCTGAGAAGGCTAGAATTAGGCTAAAAAAATTGCCACTATGTGCTGAATTAGGTCTTTTCGTTCTGAAGTAATGCTAGTCAGTGCTTAATATGTCCTGTAAGGGCTGGAACAACGCTGATAAGCAAACCCAGTATGTTCTGATATACTCCTAAAAATGCCTAGAAAAAGAACACGGTGTTGAATTAGTTCTAGTCATGCTGAAAGCCAGCACTGAGTTCTAGCCTGTGCCATTAAACAAACCATTTCAGAACAGATTCAGAATTTACTCACTATAGGATGCAAGAATTATTTCAGAATTACTGAGATTTAATTCAGCATTATTGTAAGCTTGGGACTGTGGAATGCCATATATAATCATGCTGGAAATAAATCGTTTAGCATAGGTGATAAGACCAAAAGCTTATCAAATCATTACTGAAGGTATTGCAATTCAACGGTTGCGAAAGATAGAAACAGCAGAGTAGAGAAACAATATGCGTATACTATTAGGACCTAAAAGAGGGGTTGGTCAAGACAATATACTTGATTATACTGCTCCCAGAGAAGCTCGAGTATGATAAAAGACTATGTACTTCATTATATCTCACTCAAAATCCCGATAAGAAACAAAAACCAAGCTCACCTAAAGTTATTGAATACATAGCAGCAACTACAGACAGCGAAACCTCTTATGAACCCAAATAAATCGACATATGTAACCTACTAAAAGTATTTTCCACATCTTAAATTAGAAATAAACACTCTTGAATATAGTAAGGACGAATACAAGATTTCGCAGACGAAATTAACTAGAGCTGCTGTCTATTAGATCAAATTATAAACACAAGATTATGAACAACGACTAATTTTTGAATCGCATGCTAACTACCAGACATCCTTTAGATAGTACTAATTTTAAGGGTGTCTTTGACATATATTATTCACAAATATAAAATTACACCAAGAAGTTTTAAGGCACTAGAAAACATGGACGAATTATGGCAAACAGCATTTACGGTATTGACTGGATGACTGTTTTCAACATAGAACTTTGCACCGATGTGCAGCAGTTCAAGTCGCCACACTCCATGTAGCACACAAAGCAAGAGAAGAAAGTAAAAAAAATGCAAAATAGACATAGTAAACAGGGATATGAGACAAAAGGAATAGTAACAACGAAAAACAATATAGTTTCATTGGAAAGTCACAAAGAGTGCATGCACCTGAGCCATTGACAACGACGACTTTGAGCCAAACCACTAACTGTCTCCAGCCACTGGTTTTTAACATCCCGAGGACCCCAACCAGGAAGTCTACACCTTTCTACTTGGCTTAAACTAACTGTTGTAGATTTCTTTGACTGGTGGCATGTTTTGGTATGACCACCGATAGCTCTTTTCCAACCTGACTCTACGTCAGCTAACATGGCCCGTCGAGGAAGGCGATGACTAGGCATACATAACACATGTCCTAACCATCTCAGCCGATGTAGCTTCACAGCATTTACTGTATAGTGTGAATATAAAGAACGCAGTTGCACCTAGTCACTAAATCTATATATAATGATAATAATGTGACATTGACTATACTTAGATATAGAACCATATTGTTAAATTGTGTTATCATATTCAGTATTCAAAGAGGATCAATGAGTGACTTGATTGTATGAATTTGTGGACAGCCGTTATTAGTTACATATGTACAAAAGTACTGGAGGAAGAGCTAATAAGGATGAACGATGTAGTCACTACTAAGCTTTGTTAACATTATAACTGTGGTACTGCAGGATAGATAGGGACTTTGTAGTAGTGAGTGAACTTCAACTTTTGGGGTTCCCAGATGTCTTACCGCAATTACATAAAATAAAACGAAATACATGTTTGAAAAATATCTTTTCTAAATTAACTTGACTTCTAGTATAGACTAAACATGTTTTTGGTGTTGAGTGAATTAAAACAAGTACTTACCACCTTTCCCAACAATTTCAGAAACATGATCTTTGCTTGGAACGCGTACTCCTAACTGAAGATAAGCTGCCTTAGTTTTTGCTTCAGTTTCCCCATAACGATTACGGAAATAGGCTGAAATCCTGCCATAGGACTGGCTAGTAGAACGACGTGAATTTTCTTTAATCCTTTCCAGTTCAGCACCAACAATGAAGCCATGTTTCTGTGCTATAGCATAGTAATGCAAACGATCTTGCATCAGCAGACCAGGTCCCATGAAGTTATGACAGCTGTTACTTGAATGAGAAGAATGGATTGAAGGGAAAAGTTCTCTCTGTGGGCAGTAAGCGGAGTTGGAGTTCGTAGGACGAAAACCGGGGAGCGAAAATGCAGCGTCCTGATATAATCCATTTCTGGAGATAAGGTTTTGTGATGCAGTGCCGAAACCGCTTACTCCACTTGAAAATAACGTACCGGCTGGTCCTGGTGACAACCCAGGAAATTGTCGCTGTAGTTGTGTCTGTAAATTTGCAGGATACTGATTATAAAATGGAGAGTTCTGCAAACTGTGTCGATCGCCAGTTCCAGTTCCACCATTCAGATTCAGTAATGAATGCTGCGGAATGGAGGTTAACTTGTTGCTAAGACATGGGGATGTAAGAGCTGAGTAAGGAGGTGCTCCAATCTGCGTGTGGCGCATATTGAGGAAACTATCTGGTAAATCAGCTGCAGATATAACAGTTGGAGGAGGGGTACATGAACCCGAAATAGGGCTTATGGGGACACCGCCATACATGCCATTCTCATTTGAAGAGGGACTTAAAGATATCCCACTGGAAGTTCTGTCGTACATGTGTGGAGTTGGAACATTTCGATGACCTGGAGACCCAATATTAAAGCCTGCATTTCCAGATTCTGGTAGGAGTGAACACGTATTAACTGGGTTATATTCATTGTTATTTCCACTTATATGAAACTGTCCATCTGAATTTGATTGTTCACCATTAGCCATAAATGACAATAACCTAGCACTCAGGAGGTCCTCACCATCGAAATTGGCCATACTTACAGTCGGCATTTCAAATGGGGAAACTTGAGCAAAACCGGAACCAGTCACCGGGATTTGTACGCCCTCTGCATAACAATGAAAAGTTGTATGACTTATTTAGAAATAGTTATATGACATAAAAAGCGGAAATTTTGAACTGTATGGTAGGTTCATTAACAATTGGAAGAAGGCGTACAAGTTGCACAAACAACTAATACGGTAAATCTGCGAGGCGTTAGACAAAATGCTCCACGTACCTAGTATTGAATTCGTCTGTGTAGCAATAAGTAGTGTATAACATACCTTTCATGTTAGTTTGAATTTGATTGGCTAAAATAATTTTAATTCATGCTTGTCTGTGTGTATGGCTAACGATCAATTCTAAAGTCCAATGTCTATCTACCTATGTGGCAAACAACAAAACACTAGCTTAGAGTATAATTGACGAACATTGATAAATGACCGATTGACCTGATTAATAATGATAGGCTGAAATAACAACCAATCACAACTAAAGACTGTCAGCCCTCACACCTATTTCGCACGGCTTTTTATAGACTAAACAGAATATAATTCCATGTTACTTCGGGCATCATTGGTAAACAAGATTACGTAATTTCTCTTAGATCTAGTTATGAAGATGTGGTCAAACCACCTTATGCTTGAATAACGGGGTTTTTAAGCATTTTATGCTTCCCTGCCTGACCGATTATTTGGTAGATTTCATCCTTTCAGATCATTTGCCTTCCACTACTAGGATTCAATATAATTTCCAGACCGAAATTTGTGCTGTTGAAATCATTTATTCGCATTTAGCACCTTTGGTTTCAAAAACGCAGATGAAGATTAATTTGTCATTAAACGTACTATTCTACGTATCAATTTGCTAACTTGTTTCTCTTGTCTGTCAACTGGTGCCAGAAACTTTCATTTTATTGGAGATATTAAGTAGAGATATAAAGGAGAGTAGGATGAACGCGTAACGAAATCTCTTCCTTAAAAAATTAAAGTGACCCTTGATGAATACCACGTGGTTAAATTATTTAAACATAGTGACATCTGTCACTATCTACTACCACATGAATGTACGAATGCTTAAAAGTAAAGATAATATGTAAGAGATTTAAACTGAATGTAGACTAATCTTTTAACAGCCGCATAAATGATTTCCAAAACGGTTAAAACCATAATAGGTAAGGAAACAAGTACTTCATCAAGGCAACAGTAAACAACAGACACCAACTTCAGACGACCTTGAAACAGCCAATCAGACCCTTCAAGATGGAAAGTGGTATTAATTTATGAGAGTGCATTTATAAGACGGGACATAACCCTCACGTTCAAGGTCATTGGTGGAGTAAGACACTTGAAGGGCATTTTTGTCTATGTTAGTGGACCATGTTGCATTGCAGCTCCCTAACCGTTCGTTTACAAATTGGTTTTTACGTTTATCCGGCGGAGTTCAACTATAGCGTCCCAGGAGTGCGAACGCTCCAATGACCTTGAATGCATGCTAGTCGATGGTTAACTGCACCTGTCATTTTGATAGCTGAAATATTTAAGCTGTTCACCAACTAAGCAGCAAATTTCACTCAGATCCCATTTGTAAGTGCTGTCTGGACAATGTGTTAATAGCTCTTTAGGGTTAGGGTAAGTATTGGGGTAAGGGTTAGGATCAGGGTTAAGATTAAGGTCAGTGTTAAGTTTAGGGTTAGGTCCAGGACTAAGTTTAGGGTTAACATTAGGGATAGATTTAGAGTTGATGTCATTTATTTTAATTTGTTTTATTATCCACATTTTCCTGGTAAGTAGTTGTCGATCCTCTTACTAGAAACCATAGTAATTTAGCCGACAGCTTTTGGGGAAGACTGCACAACAGGATAAGAGAGATAATCGATCCACAAAAACAGCTCATCTTCAGTCACCTCGGTGAATACATGTACAGAAACTAATCTAACTTAGCAATTGATACTACTCATTATAGCTGGGACGTATTTTAAAGTCATGTCAGGGAAAGATACCCTGTTTGATGTGTTTTCATGCATTTTGTTGTAAATATACGTCATTTTTTGTACAAAAGTTCCTCATTTTTATGATTGGGCGACTGAGGGTGACTCGTGCGTTCGCACTTCTGGGACGCTATTGTTGAACTTTGCCGGTATGAGTTTAATTAGCAAGCATAACGATTCGGATTGTGGTCTACAATCGTTGTTTTTTTCGAAGTTTTGAGGAGCTGCTTATTCGGAGTGGAAACACTGACTGAATACAAATTGCTTGTTTCAGTCCAAACAATGAAATTCCTATTTTTTGGATGTTTGTAATTTCTCAGTGGCTATAAATACGAATGTGCATAATTTTTAAGAAAACTTTAAATAAACTTTCCTTGAATCATTGATCTTCTTTTTCTTGTCGAAACATCCGTTGATACGATTAGTAGGTTGGGTTGCAAAGTAGGATGTTCTGTGACTGAGAATCGTAGTCATTGCGTTTCGGACTAATTTCGCGCATCTGACTGTTGTAACCCTACGGATATAGTTTTTTCCTCATGGTGCATTATGATATCTAGAAATCATAAGCGCACTGTCTTCGATAAATTTATTTTATTTTTTACGTGACTGTAAATAGTGAGTCATTTAAGGTGCTAGGATAAATACCTCTAGACACTATCGTGGAGATTAGGAGATGATCTTTTCACAAAAAAAGGTTCTCAGCATGTCCGCTTTTACTTTGTAATTCAAAGACAACGTTAAGTTGTTCACTAAGGTAGTAGCTACAGGAGATTACCTTCAGCAGAAACTATTTTAGGGTAGCTACGTAGCTTTAGGTAATACATTGTAAGAGTAAGCAGCGTACGTTGATTGTGTCTAAGTATATTAAACGTTGTATGACTGGTCAAATCGTAGTTCTCACATACTAGCTAGTCATATAAATAATGAATGTACCGTACAAGCGTTTACCTTGATTTGCATACCTAGCTCATAAACATTATGCCTGCATGTGGTATACATTTAAGGCTAATACGCTGTGTGATAAATTAGTCCGAGATACTTAACTTCAGACTTGATTTCTTTACCACTATCATAAATTATACAGCGGTCATGGGAATTAACAGCTTCATCTAACTTTATTTTACATCGGAAATTGAAATTAACATTCTGACATTTGGAAGGATTTAGTTTCAGACCACTTTCTGACTCCTGGTACAGAGCTGTTCATCTTGGTACAGTGTAGCTGGGAGTTAACAGACAAAGTTGATTTTGTATGCTTATATACATTAAATTCGTCAAATAAAAAATACAATTGGTTATGGTTATTTTAACAAAACAAGTGAAAATTATTAAGTTTCGAGTGGAGCTACGTAATACAAAAACGGTCAATAAAACTGGATGTTAATGAAACTAGTGTAGTAACAAAGGTGATGAGTTGACACAAACAGTTGTTAAAAAGGAGTTACGTAATAATATGGATAGTTTGATGATTGAGTTGTCCTCAGGATACACATAGGAACAAGTGGACGACTTCCGCTGACATACAGTGCACTGCTTTCTTCCTGATAAATAAGAATGAAGCCATTTAACAATTCAGCACTCAGTGTGAGTTTCAACAAGCTTATTTAACAAAATATCCCTAGGTACTAAGTCGTAAACAGATGTGTAATCTAGGAAGGTGTAGCGAACAAATTCAGCCCCTCTGTCTAAACTGGCGACAATGTTATGATACAAGACTGCAGCTGCATCTAAAGTACTTCTAGCATGTTTGTAGGCGAATTGTTTGGGATCGTTAAAAGATTTAAGTGAAGGTTGAAGATTAATTAGGAGTAACTTTTCCATAGCTTTTAGAAAAGGGGAAGTAATAGCAATGGGTCTAGATTTAATACATGTTCCAGTAGATGACTTAGGTATAGGTACAACTTTAATGTCCTTCCAAACGGCTGGCTCGAAATTTCTGGAAAAAGATTCATTAAATATGTCTATGAGAGGATAACACAGGATATCTGCACATTTCTTAAGAATAAGGCTAGGCGCACCATCTGGACCTAGGTAACAAGAAGGGTTCAGCGACAGGAGGTACTTTAGAACGTCATTTGTATTCAAACACTTGTGGCACTAGAAACCTTGGCATTTGTGATAAAATGTATGAAAGACTTGTTTTGTGTACACGCATTAAAAAAGGGAATACTGTTGCAATACTGGATGTAAGTAGATGCATAAAGGCGTAAGTTATTTAATATCCATAAAGTATGTATGTGAATACTGTAGTTGTTGATCATAAAAATGATGGATATTAGATAACATCACATGATTCAACGGCATATTGAAAAGAAATAAAAATTGTCTCTTAGCTCATTGTCAAGTGAACACTCTATTTGATGATGTCAATGCATATTAACAGATTAATGAAGTATCTATCAAACCTAAGTTACCACATTTACTTGTACTACATACTTGACGTTTAGCACTATACAGACGTGCAACTCGCTAGATAAGGCGACTTTAGAGTATCAAACAATACAGAATTATTAGTCAACTTGCTAATTCCTACTTAGCTTTTACAATGTGCTATTGTATAGAAACAGACGCGAAATCCTATGAATGACTAAAGTAATAGTTTCATAATACTATAGTAAATCTCCATCCCACTAAGCTTAACATTCATTAATCCAAATTCACATATTACAAAAGCACATAGTATAGTGATGCATTGAAGAAGTCCGAGAGAAGTAGAAATTAAGAGTATATTAAACATTTCATTAATTTACAAATGGAAAATTCTGATGAAGGGTATTAGCGTTAGTTTGAACGATTGATATTTCCTCTGATTTCATATTCGACAACCTCCGTATACCTAAGAAAATGAAGCACAAGTAAGGACTAGCACAAAATGAAGTTATAAAAGATAATTCTACATATTAGCATACAATATGAATACACTATCCTGGATTCCACTGCTAGTCACCATCCACTAATTATATTATTAATAATATTAGATAGGGGATAAAATTACTCACCCAATAACAAAAAGCATCAATAACTAACAAGTGGGGAAATCTGAAGGAAGTCGCGTCCTTTTTTTTTTAACTTTTCTCTATGAAGCATCCTTTCAAATGAGGGTGGTACGGATGTGGACATCAAGAAGTGGGATTGGAAGAGAGACACAAGCAAGCCTACAGTGCTCCAAAATCGTGGTGGAAATCTACTGCCTTCAATGTAAGAAGAAGCACCGTGGTTTTCAATACTAACATGAAACTTGTCGCA